CGTATCACAAATTTTTTATCAACTTTACGAAATGAAAATGAATCTACATAAAAATTGCAAAGGGCCAGTGATGAGATCTCAAAATGGACTAGAAAGTGGAATATAAAACTTAACGAGTTGAAATCAGTACACGTAAATTTCACTAATAGGAAAGTTGACAATTCATTTTCGGTTCGAATAAATGGCGTCTTGATTCCGTCCGCAAACACAGCGAAGTATTTGGGAATGACGTTGGACGCGAAGCTCAGATGGAAGGAGCACATAAAGAAAAAGAGATCTCAACTAGAGGAGGAATATTGAAAGTTCGAATGGCTTTTGGGGAGGCGTTCCAAATTGACAACATACAACAAAGTTTTGATATATAATCAAATATTTAAGCCTGTCTGGGCTTACGGTATTCAGTTATGGGGCTGCGCTGGGCAGACTCATATCCAATCTATACAAAGATTTCAAAATAGAGTATTACGGGACATTGTAAACGCCCCTTGGTATGTCCGTAATGCCGATATACACAGGGATCTCACGATCCTAAGTATCACAGACGAAATTAAAAAGCAAGCAGCCAATCATAAAATGCGTTTATCCAATCATGTCAATATCGAGGCGGCTCGATTGGTTGACAATCAAAACTTTGTTAGGAGACTTAAACGTACGAGACCTCTCGAGTTAGTTTAGAGTTTTTTATCTGGAACAATGAGTACTTAGTACGCTATTGTGCCAGATCAAAAGCTTGTAAATAATCAAAAAGGTTAGAGCAACATTAATGGTTAGTCGTTTTCAACTAGTTTTATAGTTTATTTTGCGGAGGGTGTTTTTTAGTGGATTAAAGTTCCACACTACTGCTTTTCGTCTGGCAGTGTCTTTCAAGATTTTTCACCCTTCCTCTCGGGAAAAAAAAAACAAAAAAAAAAAAAAAAAAAAAAAAACTTTACGATTAACATATCTATAATGTTACCAAAATTTCTGAAATAATTTTTGTAATCTAAGAAACCAAGTCTTTCCACGACTTGTGAATGAATCGATTTTTTTCAATTACACAAAATTAAATCGATGATAGTGAGAGTTCATAAAGCACTTTAATTTTTCACTTGACTAACGATATAATATTGAGGTGCAAAATAGAAACTTTGAACAATTTTCTTAAATTTTTTCAGTGTTTTTATAAAATCAAAATTCAAATGATAAAATTTTTTCTTAATACAACTCTTTCATAAATTTCAGGACACTCGTACAAGAGCATAAACTATATAGCTGTAACAATCCAATATTTTCACCATATTAATTTTGTCAACCCCTAAAAAAAAAAAAAAAACTGAAAAAAAAACCTACTGTTAACCGGGATAATTCTCATATTCATCATTCAGTTCTCTTTGTTTTAAATATTTTTTAGTGTTGCTTTTGACGTGCAATAAATTTTCCTACGATTTTTATTTTTCTTTTTTTTTTCCCCGAAAAACCAAAAAATAACAATAAAAAACGGGTTTTGTTTTTTATTTTTTTTTTAAAAAAATTTTTTTTTTTTGTTTACTTGAATATTTTATCATGTAAAATTACTTTCCCATATTACACTTGCGAGTTACATGAACAAAAAACAAAAAAATTGGGTATGAAGGGAACAAAACAAAAAAAAAAGATATGTGTATTCTAATATTTCATATAATAAGAGTAAAAGAAACAACAACAACAACTGTAAGTATTCATGGTTGGTTCCGCTAGATGTAAATGATACACGTTCATAATATTATATATTCATATTCTCGAGATATGCATAGCTATATAATATATAATAACTGGAGAGAAAATTCTAGCTGTGAAAATTTTAATATTATATGAGAAAAATTCTTCAATATTAGATTTCATCAAGAATCATGACAAGGAAGAAATATTCCATTTGATGCTCTTCGTTTACTCATTTTTTGTTTTTTTTTTTATGCTTTTTTTTCTCTTCGTTTTTTTTTTCAACATTATCATATGCATACATACAAACGAACACAAATATTTAAGCTCCATTAAACAGAGAAACGAAAAGTAGGAAAAAAAAGAAAAGAATGAAATTAAAAAAAAAAGGAGAAAAAAAAAAGAAAAATGAATTTAGTTAATGTTTTTCAATATGCAAGGAAGGAACAATTACAGTTATCTTCAAGGATAATAAGATACTTCCTTCTAGTTTAAAAACGTGATAATTTTTTGTGGTTTTAAGGAAAACTGTGCTAAGTTGAAAAAACTTGTTTTGAGTTAATTGCGTTTAAAGTTAAAAAAAATAATGCATTTTCAATGTTTTATGGGTAACTTCTTATACTCAAATATGGAATTTTGACTGAAATTTTACAGACAACAGACTTAGAAATTAATGTTGACTGACAAAATTAAAATTTCTGTTTCGTTTTAATTTTTGAAGAAAGTTTGAACTTTTTAAATTTTTGTTTATTAAATTCAAAAATCCTTACCAGTGGGAGAGAAAGTATTTAACTGAAATTACCTACATATGTTTTTGGAATTGGTTAACCCAATTTTAATGAGATAGGAAAAATTTTGTACGTATAGAAAAGAACAATTTCCTAAAACTAGGGAATTAAGAAGCGTAAAAGTTTTAATAAATCAATTTATACTAATAACGTATGGCAGTTTCTTTAAAATGTATGGATTATTTTAAGTTCTTTATACTCAGAATATATAATTTTGTATTAGTGTACTTAAAGTTTTGGAAGTGTCACATCAGCTACCTATAACTCCTGCGATTGAAAAGAATTCTTTATGAATTATATGAGTTTAAGATCAATAAAGAATGTTTTTGTTCGGTTTATGAGACTTGTTTGAAATTTTCCCTATTGTAACTTCTACAAAATTACTGTCTCAACTAAAAAACATTGTATATATTCACTCTATAATTTAAAATTTCTTATAATTAATCTAAAAGTTTTTATTTTTAGAATAAATTCATTAAAAATATTATAAACGTATTGTGAGAACTAATTGCAGGAAGAAAATATTTTTCAAATAAAAAAATAATTAATTTATTATTATGAGGGTTTTACTTTGTAACGATATAGTATCTAGGAACTATATATCTGAGTAAATGCATATATATTGGAAAAATTTGTGTATGTAAGCATGTAGATGATTAAGGGAAAAGTTTTTATAACACTTTTTTAAAAAAACATTTCGGTTAATTAACTTTATTTTGTATATGTATGTAATATATGTAATGTTGTTGTAATATTATACATTTTTTTTTCAATTGAGATATAGAAAAATAGTTTATCTGATTTAGCTTTAATTTAAATATTATTTTAAACGGATTAAAAAAATAAGGTTTTAAAATTTATCTTATATTTTTATTTTATTTTGTTATTTGTTTTAATTTTTTTTATTGAAATATTTTTTTAATTTTTTATTCAATACACATTTTATTTAAAACATACCATGCTGGATAAAATCGTGAGTGAAATTGAATTTAAATTTGAATTTATAATTAATTAGATCAAAGGATAAAATCATTTTCGGAAATGCAGCAAATTTGTAACTAAAATTTGTAACTAGCGGGAAATCTGAAGAAATAAGAATAACAAAATATTTTGAAAAAAAAAAATGTATTTTAAAGTAAGGGTTAAACTACATGAGCAGGGTAAGTAATATTTTAAGGAAGTCGAAGGGAATTCAAAATTTTAAAATTTCTTCGAATATCGATTTACTGAATGAACATTCTTTTTTTTTTTTTAAATTTATAGTTTACGATATTGATTCTCTTCTTTTTCGATTTATTATTGCTTTTTAAAATTAGCAAAATTTGAGTTTTCATTTTTGTACTTATTCCTAATAATAATTCAGCAATCTTATCATCAAATAATAAGTAATTTGAGTCTAGTTAAATTTATTTATGATCAGTCATCAGCATAACCATGTCTTTATCCGAAAATACATATTTATTTAGCAATACATAATTTTAATTGCTGAATAGTTTTACAGCTGATCTGAATTTAAATTTTATATATTTCTCCTAAATATATGCAAAAATTTGTTGTATAATTATAAGAATAATTTCAAGTAGATAAGAATATTATTTTTCGTTATCTTAACACGTTTTGACTTTACTAGTTACAGAATTATGTACAAAACTTATATATATATATCTGTTATACGTATAACATTTTCTTAAAATAATTAAACACAATTCTTTTCAATAGAACTTATATATTTCTTATCATTTAATAATTAATTGTGTTATACGCCAAGTATAATAATTTGATTATGTGTTTATACATGTAAAGAGAAGGGCCACATTCAACTGCGTAACACTATAATTCAACATTTTCTTATATTAATTTTCTTTACAATTACTGTTTTTCACATTGTTGATTGCAACAAAACTAATAGCATTATGGCAATAATGCGTAAAAGGACAAAGAGTTACAAAAATGTTAAAAGCAAAAAATTAAAATAAATATTCGTGTACCTTTCAATATACATATATTTTTTTCAAAAAAGATATCCAAAAAATAACTGAGAGCAAAAACCAAAAAAAAAAAAAAAAACAAGAAAATTCATCAATTAATTTCATCGAATTATCACTATCACAATATTATTGACCATCAGTCAATCAATCAATCAATAAAAAAATATTCAACGCGCTTTGATTCATTAAAAAGGCATGAAAAAATAAAAACAAAAAGAACAAAAAAAACCGGACGAAAAAAATAAGTAAAAACTAGTAATTAACGTGCTATTGTGGTTGCTTTTCTGTCGATTTTTATTTTTTCATTTTACTTTCGTTTTATTTTTAGTCCTGTTTTTTTTTTTCCATTTTACTATTCAATATAGTATCGTAAATTGGGTATTTTTTATTGGTGATTGTAATTGTTTTGCATATACATACTTTAACTTATAAGTATGGGGTATGGAATGTATGTACATAATATGTATGTATGCAAATATATATGATAATGTTATACATATTGTTATATAATTATATATTTATAAAAATTGAAATTATATATACTTACCAAATCAATTAATTGTGATAAACGTAAACCTAATTTAACTAAAACAGTATCAGTATTATTACTAACGGGTCGTATTAAACGATTATAATTACTTAATAAGTCATCATATAATCGTTTTGCATCCGGATTACCATTAGCACATTGTATTTTAATAAATATAATATAAAATATAAATAATATATATGAATAAAAACAACCATAATTTAAGATGAACTTTGAAAGCTTTCTTCTTTCTGACATTCTCATTTACTTTAAAATACTTTTATACAAATACTATATTATTACTTATAATGTATTGTATATAATTGTTATACACGTATATAAGTATATAATTTAAATGCTTTTTATTTTTTTTATTATTGTTATTATTATTTTATGATAAAAGTTTATTTTAATTTCTTTATACAAATTTTTTTTTACTGTTGGTTGGTGTTTCTGCGTTATTCTTTAACATTTCATTTTATAACACTATTTTTGTATAATATGAAAGATTCTGTTACAGCAGAATTGTACATGATGTATGTATACGTGATAAAAAAGGATAGTCAATGTTTTGGTATTTTTTTTTTTTTAGTATTCTTTATTTTCCTGTTGTTTATATGTATGTATGTATACGTGTATGTAAAATTGAAAATATGTATATAGATTTTCGTTTATGTTTTTCTTTTTTGTGTTTGGAAGGTTTTAAAAGTTAATTTTAATGTCAAAAAACTGTCAATATAAATTAAAATTTTGATTGCCAAATATTACAAAACTAGCTATATAAAATATTTTTTTATTAATATGCCTATGACATACATACATATATAAGTGTTTATAATTTTAGAAAGTAAAACAGTTTTCAAAAAAAAAAAATTTTCTTTTTTTTTTATATATTTGATTTTTCAATTTTATACAGAATTTTATATAAAAAATTCACAACACTCAAAAATTCAATTTTCCAAAAAAAAAAATTATTTTGTTATACTTAATAAAATTCGGCGAAATTTTAGTAAAATTTCGGTACAAAAAAATAAAACTGGCAATAACAATTAAATTTTTCTTTATTTCAGGAAATTATTTTTTATTGAAAAATATTTTAAAATATCAGTTTTTAATCACATATTTTAATATTAAGTTTTTAATGAAATTTACTTAAATTATTTTTTTACTTCAATTTATTTTTAACCATAAAAATTTCGTATTATAGGAATGACGTAAAATTTGTTTTTGTACATATAAAATCAATTTAGGAAAATAAAACGAGAAAAAAAGCAACAAATAAACAACGTATATTTACAAATTTTGTGCACTTCAGTGACATCTCACTGAGAACTGAATTCTGGGTTTCCTTTTATTTTTTTTATACATATTTTAAGAAAAAATTTTCTGTACAAGTTTTCCTTTTGTTTTACATTTTCCTGTAGTATAGTATTCGAGATGCTAAATAACAATTTTTTTCTTGTTCTTGTTATGGTTTTCTTTTTCTGTTTTGCAAGTTGATTTGACCAAAAACATAATAACCGAATACCTACATAAAAATTTTTTAACTAATACTACAATGAAAAAGTTGTTTTCCACATTCAATGTATCAAATTTGTGTTGTTTAATACGTACGCATGCATATGGTGTAGTAAAAGCAGAAACAATTACAGTATCACAGTATACGTATACGAAAAATAGTATTCGAAAAAGTAAAATAAAAAAAAAAACCTATAGCATCAATTTAAGGAGTTGTCATGAAAAAAAAGAACAAGAAATACAGAAAAAAACAAATGTTTTTTCTATATGTTTCCACAGGCGAAAGTTGGAAGGCAAAAACAAAAAACAAATACAGAAAAAGGAAAAAAAGATTACAAGAAGAGAGAGAGAGAACATTTCGCAAAGAGATGAGATTTTTTTGATTTTTCCTGGTACACATAAATTTTACTGAAAAAATGAGACCATACATGTTCATTAATTCTGTTATGAAAAGCTTATTTTACTCCTGCAAAATTTATTTTTTTAACATTGTATAAAATCTCAAATTTTTACTCTCTTTTGGATGCTGCTTTCCTCTTTATTTAGATAAGTTTACAATTCTTTTTTCTTTTTTATCAATATATTCGTCTGCTAGAAATAATTAACTTATATGCAGAAAGTTGAACTTTGCAGAAGTGCGCAGTTTTTTTACTTTAAGCTTTATTTCTATATAAATAATTTTTTACATATTTTAAAGGAAAGCTTTTATAAATCATTTAGTGTAAAGAACTTGCATAAATTATAAATTTAAAAATATTATTTTTCTTTATCAATTTGAAAATAAAGTCTCTACAATATTCTCTAATATTCTGCTCTAATTAATTTCTACATTCAATCGCGATATACTTTCTTGTTTTTTTTCTCTGCACAATTTAAATTCATGTAATTTATTATACATGTATATTATGTTCTAGTAACGTAATTTGTACTGTTACTTGAGAAAGCTTTTTTTTTCAGGGAGAGACAATAAGTATTTAATATAATAATATTTTTAAAGAGTACTCGTTCTACTCGCTATAATAAAATTGTGAGAGAGAAAATATTATAATAATATCAAAATAAAAATTCTCCAATATTTTAAGTTTTTGTTTTTTTGTACAAAACGAAAAGTTTGTGGTTTTAAACAGTTAAAGTTTTTTGTTTTTTATTATGATGATTGGGTGGTTGGTATATGCTATGGGTAATAAACCATGAGTAGAAAAGTAAATTAAATTTTCAATATATACGTTTATGTGTGTATGTATGTATGTATATAGTAAGCAAATTTTAGATTATTTTTATTTTAACTAACTATACTGTTTTAAATGTGTTCTCCACCCTTTTGTAATTTTTTTTTTTCGGTTAGTTTTTTTCATCCAGATTTTCCCATAACTTGTTTTCCCTTTGACATAAAAGTTTTTGAATTCGTTCTTAGTTTCGCGATTTTATTTTTATATTTTGTACTTTTTGGTTTTTGAATTTTTTTCTTTTTTTTATTTATATAACAAACAATTGTGTTTAAACTACTATGTGTGTAGAATAACAATATTAGAGTATGTGAAGACCAAATGATATTTATTTTGCAATGTTGTGAATAATTCAGGAAGTTTTTCTGTTGTTTGGCGTTTTTTTTTTCCTCGCAATAAAATATGTACGTCATGTATGTATGTTTGGTTGTGTTTTTTTACGTATTTTATATAAATGAATGTATACTGAAATGTATGACGTTTTAAAATAACAGAGAGCTACCATAAACAAAGTTCAATATAAAAGAGAAAGAGAGAGAATTCTTTAAATATTATAGATAGGTGCGGTCTTCAAAAATTTGTTTTAAACGTTATTTTGATTTAAAAAGATAAAATATTTCAACATTTTAATTTTTCCATATACATTTTCTTGTTGTTGTCTTTGATGCAAACAACCCACATTTTTTTTTTAATGGGAATTGTTTTAATTTGATGTTATATACAAACATGAAGGTAGAATATTATAATAAAATTATTATAAGGAATTAATAATTCTATTGAATGCCCTTCTATATATTCATATTTTGGAAAAAAGAAACGAAAAAAAAAAAATAATAAATGAGAATTATGAGAAACGAACTTGTTGCTTTATATTTATTTTAAGTAATAAAGATATGTTATCCTTGGAATTTATCTCAGTACACATAGAGTATATTTTCTAATACATATAATAAAAAAATTGAGAAGAAATGAAAATTTTAGTACTTCCGCATGAATTTTGGAATTTTTTTTTGTCTTGAAATAGTTAATAAACTAGAGCCAATGAAATTTTTGTAGAAAGACACAGTTTTTATACAACAAAACAAATTAAAACATACCAATGAGATCTAGGGAAGAGTTTTACCGTTGATTTATAAACAAGGGCAATTGGTTGTGGAAGAACTGAATGTATACCGTGGTGTTTTCCATAATGGCGCAAGAATGGATAGGAATGCCGGTAACATAATTCGAAATATATTTGATCTAAAGTGATATAAAGAAGCAGCCGAAATATAGTGAGCTAAAGAAGCAGCCTACATAAAATATACATTTCCGGAGGGAAAACGTAAATACAAAATGTAGGCCGTTTTGTTTCAACCTCGTTCAAAAATGTATTGCTTCAAAAGTATTATACAAAGTTCGGAAATATTATAACTAAGAATTCTATAGGTTCGAAATTTAATTGCATATATAATTAAATTATATGTATATTATCAATCTTTGCTGCCGCAACAAATCCTTGGGTATTGTTCAGGAACGAATTTATTTCCATAAACTGGAAGGGCTTTCATGTTTTCCAACTACTAATTTTTATTTTATTAACATGCAGACATTAAGATCTTATAATTTTGAATTTTCGAATTTAATATACATGTAAGCCCAAAAAGAAAATTTTGATGTTGACGTGTACTAAAGATATCTTACTGATTCTATCTGTAAAATTTTTGAATATTTTATATATGAACTCAAAATTAACAGATATACAAACGTGTAATATAAAAAAAAGGAAAACCATAAATCACATTGTAAAGCGTATATAAACAGAATATTATACATGAAATATGACATTAAAATTCCCAAATTAAAAATCAAAAGCCTTTTGTGTAACATATTATAAAAAATTCATAACGTTGTCAAGAAAAGTTTAGTTATTAATTTTAAATCAAAAATTATAAAATACAAAATACAAAAAAAAACTTTTTTTGGTGTAAAAATCCCATATCGAAGTCAAATATTATTAAAGTTATTTAACTTTTATAAAATGCATACATTAAGGCGCATGTATCTTATAAATCATATATCATGTATTTAATAGTATAAATTTTTTAAAGTTACAATTATATTAAAAAAAAAAATCTTAAACTGTATCGAATATCGCATACAATTTTGTCCATACAGTATAACATGATCATAGAATAGATACGCTTAAGAACACTTTAGCATATTGTTGGGCGTTATTTTTCTTAAAATGAAAAATTTAAATAAAATAATGTTGATTAAAATTTTAGAAAGTGGCAGAAGATTTAATATTTGATTGGTTAAAAATTTAAATAATTGATTCGTTACTACGTTTTAATGAAAATTGCGTGAATTTTTAGACTCTCTTTTAATAATTTTTTCGAAAGATGCTTTATGATCTAGATGGAAACTCCTTGGGTTGAAATAATTGCAATACTGCAAAATGTCAGGGTCCTAGGTATCGTGTTAATTTTATGGGAAATAAGACTCTATGAGAAAATGTAAAGAGGGCCCAGAAGTCCCTTACGAAAAAAAAATTCTTAATATTTTAATCTTAACAATTGAATAATAAATTATCTAAAGAAAATTTTGCTTCAGTAAATATTTATTGATATATAAAATCAATATCTACCAGTTGTGCAGTGGCCCTTTAACTGAAGTATCTCGGTTGCAAATGCTGATCAGATTACAATTATAATTGGACCTAATTTTATTTAGCCTGATATACAATACATTTGATATAAAAATAGTTGTCCATGTATCCATAATATTTGACATTGAATGACAACAATAATTGTTATGATAATTATTATCAATAACCTTCAATAGTTAACTCAATGACCTGTAAAACTGAAGCTTGACTCTAAAATCAAGTTGAAAGGTCAGAATACCCATAAGTGGAGTAAGAGAACAAAAAAAAATATAAGTTATACAAAATGATTTTTATCGTCAATTAAATTCAATACTAATGGTGTCTTTATTTTATATTGTATGAATTGTATCTGTAAATACAAAATTATTTTTAGCCT